AGTCCGGGTCGAGACCAAGACCATAGAGGGTCGAGTCCGAGTCGAGACCGAGACCAAAGACCAAAGACAGTCGAGTCCGAGTCAAGGCAGAGACCATATAGAGTCGAGTCCGAGTCGAGACCGAGACCAAAGACAGTCGAGTCCGAGTCGAGACCAAGACCATATAGAGTCGAGTCCGAGTCGAGACCGAGACCAAAGACGGTTGAGTCCGAGTTGAGACCGAGACCAAAGACGGTTGAGTCCGAGTCGAGACCGAGACCATAGAGGGTCGAGTCCGAGTTGAGACCGAGACCAAAGACGGTTGAGTCCGAGTCGAGACCGAGACCATAGAGGGTCGAGTCCGAGTTGAGACCGAGACCAAAGACGGTTGAGTCCGAGTCGAGACCGAGACCATAGAGGGTCGAGTCCGAGTTGAGACCGAGACCAAAGACGGTTGAGTCCGAGTCGAGACCGAGACCATAGAGGGTCGAGTCCGAGTTGAGACCGAGACCACAGACGGTTGAGTCTGAGTCGAGACCGAGACCAAAGACGGTCGAGTCCGAGTTGAGACCGAGACCAAAGACGGTCGAGTCCGGGTCGAGACCGAGACCATAGGGTCGAGTCCGAGTCGAGACCGAGACCAAAGACAGTCGAGTCCGAGTCGAGGCCGAGACCATATAGAGTTGAGTCCGAGTCGAGACCGAGACCAAAGAGAGTCGAGTCCGGGAGTAAAGAACAGTGCTGTGTCGTCTATATTGGATCTGACAGGAACGGTGCAACACACGGAGTCTGGGTCGAACATGTATAGGCGAATCATTCCGGTTGCCATTTTAAAACATTGGACGTTTTCAAAACAACTTCCCCCAAGTGCACCGACAGGTGAGTTGAAACTCATTATATAATGCAAAACCGTTATCCACTCACAGCAGTGGGCGTTTACTTCCAAGTCGTCAGTGCGAGATACCCATAAAAAACTAATGTTTTTCAGGTAGGCTCAAAACTAGGGTACAAAATAGCCTATTACTCCATTTAGATGTTTTTGAATGCAAAAACCAAGCAAACGTCATAAGTTGACCTCAGACAATAATATAATAGAATTTAAAAAGCCAGTAAATATCCGGAAAACAAGATACATTTACTTAAAAGAAAATGTACATATAAATTGTTCATGCCCATGTTTCAAGTTTTCTAGTTGTTGAATAGTTCTGTAATTTCAGGTCATGTGTACACGACACTGTTTTCAACAGAAAACTTTTTATGCGTTTTGGCCGTTCATTTACACCACAACAGCGATTTTGGGGGCCTGAAAACAGGTTTTGAAAACGATGGCTTTACCGTCTCCATGTTAACAACAAAAACGTGAATTTGAGAAAACGGTAACGTCGTCATACGCATGTATATGATATGTTTCTTGAGGTGTTTCTTGAAAAAGTGGCCTGACAGCATAATACAGTCATTTTTGTGAACAGGAATCGTTTTGGCAACGTTGTCGTCCGTTTTTAAGACGTTGTCGTGTAAACGCACACCCTCAGTTTCCCCCGTCTGTTACCATGGTTACAGAATGATTTGAGTATTCAATGTAGGTCCTTCTCATTTAGTTCCCCTTGTTTGCTCAAGTCCTGGTTTGTGTTTTTGCGGTTTAGTCTTGTTTAAGCAGCTGAGTTGTGTTATTTCTACCGTGACCAAGTTCCTAGTCTTCTGTTTAAGTACATTTAAATTAAACTTCCTTGGATTTTGACTCCGGCTTCCAGCGAGTGTCTGAATCTAACTATGTGACCGAATCCCAGAACATCCATCATTTAAGGAGAAATTTGACTTTGTTAATGGTTGCCTTTTAAGATATACGTGATACAGTAAGTCACTGGCTGTTTTCATAGCCATTATTCTAAAGAAGAGCCTTATGTTGTAGCAAAGTTCAAATGGAAATTGATGTCTCCATGCTTTGCATCTGTGACAGACGACAGGTTTTGCATTAAAGATAACTTGAGTCAAATCTGGATGCTGAATCAGTCGCCATCAACCTCCAGTCAGTCCGCCGCTGCAGGTAAATGATCATCATGTTATTTGTTCAATGTGTTGAAGATGATGAGCTTCTCTTTTTATCCTAATCTGTAATTATTGAGGTTAAATTTTAGATTTGAAGGAACAGACATTCTAGTGATAGTATAGAAGTTTTGATGCTGTTTTTTCAAGTTTTGATCCTGAGAACATTGCATATGTGAGAGGTTGTAAACAAAATGTGCTGTGAATAATGTCAGCAGTGGTTGTCTGTAGTGATCCTTTTCCAGTCCTCTTGTGTCTCCGTATCCTGGAGTATCAATGATGGTGAGAGATATGGGACTCTTTATTGGACAGACCTCATACATGGTGATTTCAGAGGTTTGTGATTCTGATTGGCTTCTGATTGGATTCTTCTTCAGTGATTTCGTACCATATTTCATTCTCAAACTTCACTCCCATTAAGTAGTTGACCATGGTGTTGATGAGAGTCGTCTTCCCAACGCTGGTCGTCTTCTCCCACCAGAAGAACAATTTTGTTTTGTTTGCTGCTGTCTTTTTTTCCATAAGTCCATCTTCTCACTTTCCCATTATCATCAAGCACTTTTCTATCTGTGTGAAGACGGAATCGTTTTGGAGGACCTCCATGAATAAGAGTTGTTCTACGTGGTTGAAGATTTGGCTGTCTGTAAAATAAGGAGGCAAACGTTTTTAAAAAAAAAATGACTAGAAGACTAGAAATTCCCATGGAAATACAGACATTTTCAACATGTTCATATACATCTAAAGACACATTATTTTAAACATGAAGTCCATCCAAATAATTTCATTTAAAAAATGTTAAAGGAGAACTCAGGCACAAAATGAACCTTTGGTCTAATAAAACATTGGTACCTAGTCAATCATTTTCTGAGATTTGTTTTCATATGATAATCGAATGTAAAGAGTTTTATCTCTAAAAACTGTTTAGCGTATAATGCTAGTAATGGGGGCATTTAGAAAGTAAAAAGAAATCGCTAGTTTATACCACTAACAAGGCTCAAAATAGCCCCACACTAACACAGTAACATAATGAGGGTCCATACATGCAAAACGAAGCATTGAGAACTTTGTAAGTGTACAGATCGTTTAATAAGAAGATACGTTATAAAGACAGTTCACTTCATGTAAACAGACAGGAGCCATCTTTGAAAACAGACTCGATGAGTCGATCCCCGAAGGCCGTTCATACAGTGAGAACTGAGAAGTGAGTGCTTCACTGTTTCAGGTCACTGTTCTGTGTGCTCTGGCACTGGTGACGGGTCCCATTTCCTGAAAGAGCAACACACGTGTGTTTGTGTTTTTTTTTTCCATCCATGCATTTCTGGGTGTAGTAGAGCTCTATCCCCCCTGTCGGTTACAATTACTGCATGACGTGTTTGGACTTACAGCATGCTGAAGCAGCTCTTGGGGATAACTAATGTTCCCACAGCAGGGATATGAGTATCTCGTTGTTGAGATCAAGACTCGGCTTTGTTTGTGAAGGTGGAGTCCCTACTCCGATGCCCTGCTCTAGTGTTTCTTCTGGGACAACTTCCCAGAAGAAGGCTAAAGTGAATTCCTGAGCGGGCCACTGAGCGGGGATGGAGGAAGGAGCTCTTGGAGATAGTACCCAACCCACTCCCTCCGCCCGCAGGAGGGCCGGGTGGAGTTCTTTGTTTTTGTGTGTGTCTGTTCCGCTGCTGACTCACAAAAAAATACATTTTTAAACAACCCACATTTTCAAAGAAAGAGCAATTTCCTCTTTTACTGGGCCCCAAGAGAGCCAGACTGTCGGTGTGCGACCCTGTAAAGCCTTTCACCCCTCATCCCACTCTTTAATCACCAGACGGCAATTGGGTGCGTTCGAGGACCCAGTCATGTCTTCTCATGCGCCCCCTGCCATAATGTGAAGACATGTAAGGCTTGCACTGCACACTCAGACCCGCTTCGGGCCGCCTTTGGGCTTTCTGAGCTGAGTCCCTATCCTATGTCTCACTGCCCCACCTTGGGTACATCTGTGGTGCCCCTGGTCCCCCTGGCCCGGTTCATAGATGCTTAAAATGCTCCAAACCGGTCCAGCTGGCTGTTCCGTACCAGAAAATAAGGCCAATAAATAAAAAAATGAAATAAACAACAATAAAGATAAACCAATGCCTCAGAAGATTCTGACTCAATTGGAGGAGATGGCGGGTGGGTTGCAACATGCGAGCGGAGCGTAGACCGCCTTGATAATTGATGTATGCAACGGTCACAGTGTTGACCGTTGACCGCAGAGGTGCTCATCAAGCAGAGGTACATGCTTTTGAGGCGTCTCAGAGCAAGGTGTACTGCTAGCAGCCGATGTGCCAATGCAGTTGGGGGCCCATCCAGATCGCTGTACGTGCCCAGCCGGTGGTGGAGGCATCTGTGGAGACCACGGCAAACCTAGGGGCACTCCGGGCTGGAGAAACGAAGGGTCTGACTGAGGGTTTGGCAGCGGGCCGGGGTGATTCTCACACGGAGCATGTCTCTCTGCCTACTTAAAGTGTTTTAAATGTCTGTTGTCTTGAATTGATTTCTTTATTTACATTTTTATTTTATTGATAAAAAAATCTTTCATTTTAAAAAAAGAAACTGAAATCAGCTGGAAGTTATGCGAACATTGACATTAAATCCTGTTTACATTGATCACATCCTGCATGGTCACCAATAAATGTCTGATTATACTGTGGCATGTGAAGCTGAACAGCACCACCTGTGTACTCAAATAAGATAAGATTAGAATAAGAAGTCAGACATTAAAAATAAACTTGTAAAGGTTCCTCATTTCGTTTATTGTAAGTCCATCCATTCTCCAAACCACTTGTCCTTTAAAGCCCAGATAACATTTAACAAACATTAAATGAATGTTACTGGAAGAACATGTGTTAGAACATTAGTTGAGAATGTTCCCTGTTAGTATGGGACCTGCTTCGATTGCTCATTCTTTCAATTGTTTTAAGAAACTTCTCAAGACGTTTATATATATGGTGTAAGGATTTTATTGAGCAATTTGTGTATAAGGAAGATACATTACACATACATCTATTATTATACCAAACACAGTCTAAATTCTTCTTATTAACTGTTCAATTGATCATTAATTTTAATGACAAGTACATTGGTATTTTCCAGAAATGTACATAATTGCAATTAAACTGCAGAAGAAAAAAAAATCACAGACAATCTCAAAGACTGGAATGCACAAAAATATAACATTTTTGGGATTACATGATTCCCTTTTTTTCTGATTCTGAAAGCATTAAGAAACAAAAACTCAACTCTAAATAGAAAAATCTCCAATATATACCTAACATGTTTAATCACTGGATTATTGGAAGTGAAACGAGATAAATGCTGCTTTATTTTATTCTTGAGAAGTTCACCCTGCAGTGATAACCAAACTAGAAATCACTTTATCATTAAAACCCAGAATATAGTAAACCCTTACCTAAAATATGCTGCTACTATTCGCATATTTCTGTAACAAAATGTCATACTAAGCATTATAAACTGTTTGTATGTCCGGTTTTAGGTTTTTCAGTTCGACATTTAATTCATCAATAATCGTTTTTAGCTCCTCTCTTGTCTTCCTAATTGTTTGCACAAATCTCATGATCGCAGACCGCAGCTCTTGCAGTTTTGCTTCATCTTTAGTTGACCCAGTGGTTTGGTTGCTTTTAGATTGTGTAATAGTTGCTGCAATTTCAGATTCTTGTTGAGTCGCTATTGAAGCATAATCTCTGCGAAGATTGTGAATTTCTTTGGAGTCGAGGGCAACGAAGATGGCGTCAACAGCTACAAATAGCCCAGTCAAAACCCCAGTAGCTGCTTCAGCCACACGAACGGCTCTCGCAGTCTGAGCTGCAACTCTCCCAACACTAGAGACTTGAGCTAAGCGGATAAGCTCTGCAATCCCTCCCAGACCTCGTCCAAGTCGAGCCCCGATATTTGCAAAATCGGCCCCAGATTGATCATTGGACCATGATTCCCCTCTTTCAGAAAGCACTTTTTGTGTTATCACTGCTATTTGGATGTTTTGGATGCAGCTGCTTGTGAATGTAATTTTTTCTTGTAACTCTGTAATGATCATTTTGATCTTTTGGCGGTCTGTGCGCTGGTTGACCATCTTTGTTATGTTGCTCGCACCAGATGCTACTCCACCAGCTACTGCTACACCTATGCCCACCCCAGTTACTATCAGAGAAGCTCCAAGAGTGAACGGAGTCAGAATCAGTCCAACTATAGATGTGATTCCTCCAGCCAGTCCCACTACACCTCCTGCAAGGCTGCCTACAGTTGTGTTGTAGTGGACCTTCTCGAAACCATCGGCCAACTTTTCAAGTACATCTAGGCTTCCATAAAGCTCTTTGATAGTTTGTGTGCTCTGAAAAAAAATGAGTTTAATGAAATAATATTTTCTTTTATGGTTAAGTATTTTATTTAAATTCATTTGTGCCTGTGTTTAAAACATGGTTAATTTATGACTTTAGAAGACAACAGGAACACATATGAAAAAAAAAAATCCATTTACATAACATTTGAATTACTCAACTCACCTTGTCATAAAGATGATTAATGACGAAAGTCCTCATCAAGATCTCACTGACAGACGGTCGGTTTGCTGGATCGATCTGAAGTGTGTCTTTTACCAGCTGACGAAGGTCCTTAGGGAAGGTCTCAGGAAGAGCTTCATAGGAGCAGGTGAGTATCTTTGTAATAATCTCATCTGTGCTTCTTCCTGTAAACTAAAGGCAGACAAAACACTTACACTTCTGCTTTGCATGCCCTCACCATTGTGACGGTAAGACAGCCCTCCTTGACTCCCCTGTCTGTCCATTGGGCCTATTGGGTTCTGCACATCTGCTTTCCTTTTTGTAAATGCAAGATCACTAGATCTCACAGTTAGCGATGTTATTACTTCTGTGGTGAATTCAAATGCTTTGTTTACTGGATCTCTTAGCGCTGTGTGGTAATAGTGTCGCTTTGTCAAGATCGGCTCGCGCTGCACTGACATTGGTCCAAACTGATAAATGGTCCGTGAAGCACAAACGAAAAGCACAGTTTTGTTCCACCTTCATTATGTTTGCTATTTGATAACGTAAGCAACGTTGTGGTGTTCGCGCCAGAATGCAGGGTTACCAAACACCAACTCTTACGCATCTGGTGTGACACTCACTCTTTCAGCATCAATCCACCAAAATCCATTTTCTCCCCTCTCAATCCGTTAATTTTCTGTTGATGACTAGACCACAGCGTATTAATGACAGGAGAGGAGTTTAAGGCCCACAGCTGTAACATCTGCCTACAGCGTTCTCACGGCAGTATTCTCTGAATGTTGATTCGCTGAAAACCGTCAGTTGCGTGTTCAGAGCACAGGTTCGGAGTCAGAGTCCACTGATGCACGTTTGAAAGTTTGGATGACAATCAAGGTAAGCAGCAGAATCAGAAAATAAAATGGTGTGCTTTGTCACTGTGACGTAGGCTCATGGTACAAATTACGTTTTGGCAAATCGGGCAAGTGGCATTTTAAAATTCACCAAATTAGCAAAGGATGTCCAGTTTGTGTTGAGCCTGCCACTGTCAAATGCGGATGCTAAACGAACCTTTTCAGTTATTGGCCTAAACAAGACTGACCCCACAGACTGTCACTTGAAGGTACCCTGTGATGGGAAGTTCGGATCATTTTACTGACTCGCTTGTTAGATCTTTTTTCGAGTCGTTTTGTTCATTTAAAGGGCTTTAAATGTTTTACTTTTAACAACCGAATTCCCCAAACACATTTACCTACGCAGTCTTTATCATATTCTGAATTAAAAATTCACTGTAATGCAGTCAAAAATAATTTACAGGGAACACAAGTACTTTACCTTCAGAGTGTTTCGTTCATTTGTCACGTGACAGACGCAATGAACGAATAGTTCATGAACAGGTTGAACCCTGCTTCAGATGCAGAGCTCTAGCAGAGGCAGTGATCAGGCCAAACTGGCGTAAATAACAGAGCAAAGTTTAAACCCAGAGGAGTACTTTCCTGAACTGAACTGAAAAAGATCGACGTTGAAAACTTGTTGTTTAGGACAATTAAAAGTAAATTACACTAAACATTTTAATAAAAAATATTAATATAGGTTTTTTTTAAGCAACGCAAAATTGCGCTTGTTAGCGCCGGCAATTCGATGACATCACTGGCATGGTAGGACCTGCGGAGCTCCATAGACAACAGCTGGAGGTCCTACACAGACGAAAATGAGCGCTTTTAACGGCATGGATTACACATTTGAGCCTGCGAGGGACAGACCGGTAGTGTCTGACTACCACCACATGGAGGACGATCAGTTTCAGGCTTTTTTGACTTTTTTGAAGCGCTGTGGAGCATGGGTACTGGCCGATTTGTTGCAGAGAGGTCAACCTGGAACATTTATTGATCGGTGAAAAATGCATCACCTTCCACCATTCATTTCGGATGCTGTTCAGTGAGAGAAACATGTTGGAGGAGGCTATGCTGTCTTTAATGGATGTCCGGAGCGCCCATTTTACGAATAGGCGACTTGGCTAGCCTAACTTGTTACACTTTTCTCAGATTGTTTAGATTAACCTCAAACTGGCAGTTCACTCTATGGGCGAGGGTGCATTTAGGAAAGGGAATCCCATCCTTTACAGTGAACTATACATCAGGGATCTTTTCCCCTCAGCTGAATATCAAGGATTCGAGTAACGTTTACGTGATGCATTGAACTTGTAACTTGTGTAAATAAAACATTTAATGCAGACATTGTCAGACGTTTCATGTACTCATTGACGAAAGTACATATCTCTAAATAGTGTGTCGCTAAAAATTCTGTCAGCTAGCCTCAGGCTATTCACAAGCTACGGCTGTTCTGCTGGTGTGGGTAGGCAATGGAGTGGCTTACCATGCCAGTGACGTAGTCGGATGTTGAAATCCAACATGGCGGCGCCCGTGTAACAAAAACAACACTTTCAATGTACCATTTTATCCCTTTTACCAAATTCTTCCATTTTAAAAATTGTACCAATGAGAATAAATAAAATACATCTCTTATATCACCTTTTATCACATTTCAGTTCAGTTCATCTTTAAGGTGAATTTATTTCACTCTCTGCTCTCCCCTTTCCACACCAGCTTTGCCCTGTTTGGGCACTTAGTGTGTACATCGAACGGTCAATTTGTCTTGCCGTGCTAGTTGACACTGCTTCCATACCATACAAATGAGTGACTTAGAAACATAGGCATTGAATAGGGGTTGAATAATTATGACATAACTATATTACAAAACATTCTATATAATGACATTCTCACCTTTAATTTGCCACTAAACTGTTATAGATAAAAAAATAAATTAAAAAAAACTCTTGGTCTTTAGAAAAGCGTACATTAGTAAATTATTACAGTCTCCAAGCGTTTGAATATTCCTTTTTTTTGCAATATATAATTTATTGTTTTATTAAAGCTTAACATTAAAACAAACATGCTCATTATCTAATAAAATAAAATCATACCGCACACTTCTGCATGCACATCTCATAGATGACACATCCGAGACTCCAAATCTCACTGTAATAAAGTGAAAATTATGAAGGTTACATTTTGAAATGTATTAAGATATTAATATAAACATTGAAAATGGTATGTTATTACGATTTCTCATCAAAAGGTCTGCCATTCAAATTCTCAGGTGCAATGTATGAGATAGGTTTTGTTTCTGCTGTCTGTGCGTCAGCGGACCTGATAAAAACAAATACATGGTTCAGATCATAATGCACACACACATATGCACTATTATTTTTTATTACGTGTCATTTTTACACACAAGTCATGTTTTAAATCAAAGGAGCACATTCATTACCATTCATTAATCTCTCCAAACTCTCCAAGACGAATGGTTCCAGATGCAGTGAAAAATATGCTCTGCCATTAGAAAACACACATTGAGTATGTTATAGCTTACTCTAATTTAGAAAATTCACCTCTATTTTCTGAACCCATGTTTATATATATAAAAAAAAATCATGGCAACTGTATTGCATTCGTACCTTGGGCCGCAGGTTTTTATGTAGGATCTGTTGATCATGCAGGTGCTTCAATGCCATGCAGATCTTCACAGTCCAGTCCAGAATCTGTAAATACATAAAATGTGAAATTACAAATGTGGAAAACTCTTCTTGACATGGTAAGGTACTTAACAATCAAAATTGATAGGAGAGCAGCTCCATACGGAGTTGTCTAGTCGGGAGGCGATTTTTTTTAGTTTAAAAAAAATTTTGCCGAATAAAAAGATTGACATGGACTAAACGGCTCCACGGCCAGCACCGTCTTTGATTCAATACAAGGACACGTTGGATTACTGCCATAGTTGGCCACTTACTGAACACCACCATGCTAACCCATTTATAGATCTTAGCCATTTATGGCGCTTTTCCATTACCAGTACCAGCTCGGCTCGCTTTTCACTCTGTTTTCCATTGCAGACAGTACAACCACAAATAGTACCTGGTCGTTATAGCAACGCCTTTCGTTCCTCGCTGCCCTATCAATCTCTCATTGGATCCGCTCATCGGCCACCAAACAAAGGAAAGTCTGCAACTCCTCATTTGACCACGGCGTATTCTTCCGAGTTTCCATAATAATAGTAGTAAGTTTAGTAACTATCTCGGGCCAAACTATTTAAAAATGGCGCGGTTATTCTGGATACTCCATCTGGGGCGTGCAATGATGACGCAGTGAATGGTGACGATTCTCTCTGACCAATCAGCAGTCGGCATTGTTTTCACATCACATTTTAGTACCAGCTCAGCTCGCCTTAGCTCGCTCAGAACCTCACCAGAGGTGAAACAAAAAAAAGTACTCGAAAGCAGGAACAGGTACAACTTTTACACAGTGGAAAACCAAAGACGAGCCGAGTCGAGGCCCAGACGATTTAGTGCGAAGATCATTAGTTATTATATTATGCTTTCTAACAGATTTAGAAAAAAAAGGTTATCTCCATGCAGACCTAAAAAACACAAACCCGCTAACACAGATGTCGTTCACATGCGATTCACGTGTTTAGTTCATAAGTCAAACAAACAAACGTTGGGTTTAGACGTCAACCCGACTTTCATTATTAACCAAAATATGACGTCCGACTGACTTTGGATTAGCCCAGCGTGTCCAGTGTTTGTTGGGACTTGATTAATTGGTCACCATCAAATCAAAATGGACAATTCTTGTTTTGTTTTTATAATATAATGCATATTGTAATTATTATTTATTATAAAGATTTATTTGTGCACATTTTTTTATTCATGTGCCCTCATGATAATGAACTCTTGCAGAGTAATCTCTTCTCTGATGATGTGTTTACGCTGAGATCCCAGCAATAGCAAACCACGATGATCCAGCCATCCAATTCCCACCGCCCTACATTTTAATTTCTTTACCGAGAAGCCGTTTCACTAAATTACAGTATATTGCACAAAAGACTATTACATCTTTCATTTCATGTCAACTTTAAAAATTACAATAAGAGAAAACGAATATAGAAAAAACCTAAATCAACCTAAAACTTAAACACTGCAACAATCACAATATTAGTTCATATTTTCAGATAACATGTTAAATGTGCAGACAAATGCTTTAATTTATGTAAGTTTAACAGTTTCTCTAAATCATAATAGGTTAAATTTCACCATGTGTAAATCCAACGCGTTCTCATCCCAAAGCGCCATATACGACGCTTTTGCAAAAGCGTAAATATCCAACGCTTATGGCACCCTTTAACGTCTAATGAGACGCTTCGGCTATGGTTAAGTTTAGGTATGGTGTAGGGTAAGGGTTAGACCACTAAGGGGTGCCTTCTGCCCAAATATATCTGCGTCTCATTTGACGTTAAAGGGTGCCATGTGCGTTGGATATTTACGCTTTTGCAAAAGCGTCCTATATGGCGCTTTGGGATGAGAACGGGCTCGTAAATCTACAAACATACCTCATTAGAAATAACCTTTTCCTGTAGTTTTGTTATCTCGGCGAGATCTCCACCCTCGCAGTGATCCAGTAAAACATACAAGCCGTCGGTTTCTGAAAGCAGATCCATTCATCACAGTGTGCTTTAAAGTCCCTGTAAAGGCAATTCTATAAAAAAGTTCTAAAAACATTATAAATGTTGTATATGTAAAAAGACAGTGAACTGTGAAGTACTGAAATGTGGAGTTAAACCGTTAAAACAGTTTTTCACCATTGCAATTTTACGGATTTTTTGGGCGGGGTGACGCACTGGAGCCCATGAGCTCCTGGACACGCCCCTATTTGATGACGCATTTTGCTGATCTCATCTCTCCCCCAACAATAGAGCACATTCGCCGCTCAATCGCGAGTGACTGTCAGTCCTATTAGTTACTACAGCCTACAGTTCCCTATCGAGGGAACTCAACACTGCGTCGATAAAATCGACTCTTTGGGGACGCTCCCTAAGCGCGCGCCTCTGAAGTATGAATGAAACTAATCCAATCCTGATTGGTGTTGCGTCGTGACGTAACATGTGACGGCATACCCGGAAGTATAAAAGTGACGCTGTCACAACACACACTAGCTTTCGCTCTTCAGCAAGTGCTACATGTGAAACTGTCTGTCTTATTTGGTGTTGTATGTCTATTATCTAAAAAGAAAAAATATGGCCAGTGAACAATTCAAGAGGTGTGTGCATCCCTGCCCTCGTTACATCACGGGTGGGGACGCACACTCTCTTTGTGTGAGTTGTTTGGGAGTGCAGCACGCACGGGCAGCTCTCGAGGGGGCTTGTGAACATTGTGAGGCTTTGCCTATTAGAGTGCTGCGCTCCCGGTCGGTGTGCTTTGACGAGCACGGTCAGGCTTGCGTTCCCCAGGGTTCCGGTCCCGCATATGTCGAGGCGATGCGGCGACTGAGATCCTGGGGTTCGCAGTGGGATCTGGTGGAGGAGAGTGAGAATGCCGAGGCATTTTCTCACTCTCCATCGGCTGATCCCGCGGCCTCTGAGAGCGGTGTGGGAGCCCGCGCTGCGGTTTCTCCTGCCCACGATCAGGTCCCGATGCTTGAGCTGTCTGCTTCTGAGGAAGTGGACGTGCTCAGCATTGATACGGACGACCGTGATCTCAGCGCGCCATCACGCGGCCTGAATTATGAGGAGCTGGTGGAGGTTGTGACTCGCGCTGTGGCCAGACTAAACATCAGCTGGCCACAACATGAGCAGGAAACGCAAGTCACGAGTAAACTGGACGAGCGTTACCTGCAGCGCAGGTCACAGCCTCACCGCCGTTTTTCCCTGATCTCCACAAAGAGATCACGAGATTGTGGAAAAGACCGCATTCGTCCCATGTTTCGAGTCTTGGCATATAAATTGCCTGGAGATGATGGCTGTGTTCAGGGCTTTGAGGAGCTTCCTCCCAGACATCAAGGGTCGCCACGTCTTAATACGGACAGACAATACGTCAGTGGTGGCCTATCTGAAGTTTGATCCCAGCCCCACTGGGGTTGGATGCCATGGTACAGGCTTGGCCGAGGCTTCGCCTGTACGCATTTCCCCCGATCGCTCTGATCCCGGGAGTCCTGGAGAGGGTCCGTCAGGAGGGCATCAGTCTACTTCTGGTTGCCCCGAGATGGCCGACACGAGTATGGTTCTCGGACATAATTTCACTCCTGATAGCTCCGCCGTGGCAGATTCCTCTGAGGAGGGATCTGTTGACTCAGGCGGAGGGCACGACGATCTTCCACCCTCGCCCAGAGCTGTGGAAGCTGGCCTCTGAGGGGGTTCAGTACCTGAATGCTGGCTTATCAGCTGAGGTGGTTGAAACCATACTTAGATCTAGGGCTCCATCTACCAGCAGATTATATGGCCTCAAGTGGAATGTGTTTCTCACTTGGTAGAGGTTGGATCCAGTAAACTGCCCAGTGGCTTCAGTTCTGGAATTCCTTCAGGATCGTTTCTCTGCGGGTCTCTCCCCGCTCAGCGTTCATCCTCCCGTCTCCAAAAGCTAATCAGCTAATATCACCGTCGACAGCTTTCCCGTGAGTGGGCGTGGTTTCCACGCAGCCAGCGGACACGCCCCCAGCGTTTGAGAGCAGAGAATACTGCTCATTTTTTCATGATTTTGATAGCTTATTTTATGTACTTGCCGGCTTTTTTATCATTCAAATTTGGCTGGGTGGCTATAACACATTTTTCTGTGGTGTCACAAACTCAGAACACATACTTAATTTTGACTTTACAGGGACTTTAAATGATTTATTAATATTTACACCTAGTGAATTCTGTATAGGCCTGGATGTAGATGAAGATGTGTTATCAAAGTGTGACTTATAAAGTTTCTTTTAACCTCTGGGGCCAGTTGTTCAAAATATTTAATCTGGATCAAAATGATCCGATTTGAAAATCCAATTTTTTCCTATCCAGGATCAGGTAATCTGTCTTACTTTTATGCTGGTTTTTCAAAGCAACATTGGACTGGATCACCCTGATCCAGATGCACAGTTTTCAAGGTTACCAAATCCGGATTACCAGTGCTCTAAATGGGACAACATATCACAATGTGGGCTACCAGCTATGTAAAGAACAGGTAGAAGAGCCAACATGGGGTCACTGTAAGTGTTTCTTATTTTGAGACAAATCACAAATGGGGACAAGATAATTTTTATTTTATTTTTACTTTACTATACTGAATAGCTTAATCGTTAGCCTATGTCTACTTTATCACTGTTACAACGGTTACACAAGTCGAGTGCAAAATATAAATAAAAGTATATACACACATGATACAAATGTATTATTGGACCAATTTTAAAGTTTTACTACATTTTCTTCCTGAAATCCACCATGAAATCCTACCCCCTGTTGGGATCAGGATAATCCTGTTTTTTGGATCAAATTTATCCAAATCCCACTGACAAGTTTTGAACAACACAAACTGAAGGTTTGATTCAGATTAAAACTAGGATTGGATTCCCTGATCTAATCTGATTTCAGATTCCTTCTTTCCCTTTTGAACAACCCATTTTCAAGATTTGATCCAATCCGATAACCAAAATCCGATCAGCTTACCTTTGAACAACTGGCCCATAATGATTTCCTTGTGTTGGATGATGTGTGGAAGACTGAGCTTTTGGAGAAAGTTTGATACGGCATCCTAAAAACAGACAGACACAGAGTGTGTGTATCAGAATTTCTGTCTGTAATTTAACAGTTTATTTCACTAAATCTTATAGGTGAAATTTCATCATATGTAAATCTACAAACATACCTCGTTAGAAATATCTGTTCCCTGTAATTTGAGTTTTGTTATCTCAGAGATAACTCGGGCGAGATCTCCACCCTCACAGTGATCCAGTAAAACATACAAGCCGTCGGGTTCTGAAAGCAGATTCATTCATCACAGTGTGCTTTAAAATGATTTATTAATATGTACACCTTACTGTGAATACTGTATAGGCCTGGATGAAGATAGATGTGTGTATAAAAGTTTCTTTTAACCTCTGATGATTTCCTTGTGTTGGACGATGTGTGGATGATTGAGCTTTTGGAGAAAGTTTGATACTGCATCCTAAAAACAGACAGACAAAGAGTGTGTGTATCAGAATGTATGTCTTTAATTTAAATAACATTACAAACAAAGTGTCCGTCTTACCTCATTAGCATTCAGCTTTTTAACAACAAACTGATCACCATCTTTATTTTTCACCAGCATCATCTTGTCTTGTTCACTCACTAGTTTGTAGCCACTAGCTTGTAGAACTGACTGTTTGCTCCCCATCTCTGAACGTTTAACTGTTTAAGAAAAGCGTTCATACAAGTTTAAGCATTTAATTCTGTGTTTTTAGGATTTTTTAAAGACCATAATAAACAAATTGTCGATGTTGCCAGACCAGTTTAACATGGTACACCAGAATAACATCACACACGTTTGTATGAATATCTGGTATTCAAATGCAGTAATGAAAACTTCAATAATTAGCCTTTTTTTATGAATGCAATTTAATTAATAGTAAAATTCAATGAAATGATATTTAATAATCCATACACAGTTTATTTAAATAATTCAGTAAGGATTGTTATTATTCAATTCAATTACAAAGTGATTATTAAATTCAAATTGGATGGAATTTTACTATTAAAATTTACTGAACTTTTTGAAACACTTAAAAGACTGAAAGTTGAAACATTCATCAGTGGACCACTCCCAGCAAGAGGAACAAACAGGTTTTCACGGTTGCTTGGGCTCAACACATGGCTGCAAAAAACCTGCAATATAAAAGGAGTGAACTTTATTGACAACTTCAATCTTTTCTGGAGTCAGAGGCAACTGTTTCAACGGGATGGCCATCACCCAAACAAACTTGGTTCAAGAGTACTAAAGGACAATATCTACTTCTCCCTCCATCATCCTTCTGCAGTGTGTGCCAATCCATTCAACCTGAATGGCACTCACACACCTGGACATAGTATGAAAGACCACAGGACTTCACTTCAACACCTAAATGGACATATTGCTGACACATCACACAAGGACAATGATAACACCACTCAGCCACAACAACAACCTCTGCTCACGGATACAATCTCAGCAGAGCTCTGCCCACAGAGCTCACCACAGACAGACTGTGACATATCAGAACTGCTCCCAGATTCAGCACCCAAGGACGACTTTCTGGAAAACAACGAGGGAAACCAGGACAGCATTTTACACCCTCCAATAACACCAGAGCAACAGCCCATCTCACCTGACACGTTATCACTCTCGCCAGCATCTCCACTTCTGTGCTTCTCAGAGAAAATGGAACAACTGGTGTCTGCTGGAACCAAACTATCACACTCTTTTGCTGCAAGCCCCCAGATACCAACCAAAAAACGGCAGGCCCCAAAACCACCAAAGCTTTCGGGCCCAGCTCGCCCTCCCCCTTCCCCTCCTCGGAGAGCTCTTCGGCCTCTGCCACAGCGCCAGGGCCCACACCCTCCTCGATCGGCTCGAGGTGAACCAAAAACAACTGATACCAGCTCTAAGTGAAATATTTCGGTTCCTCGCTATGAAAACAATAACTTTATCAAATGTTTACAGAACAAGCGGGAACCCAGTGTGCCTGAATCTTTCTCTATTGCTGTTCATTTACATGATAGAAAATCGAAGGCCTTCAACAGCCGTACAGCAAACCCATCTAATCTGGTGCCTATTACACACCAAACTAAGACTGCTGTGAGGACAAAAAGTAAGACTATAAAGTTAGCACTTTTAAACATCCGCTCCATTAAAAATAAATCACTTCTAGTCAATGACTTAATAACCACACACAACCTGGACTTCATGTTTCTAACTGAAACTTGGCTAGAAGACAGCTGCAGTGCAACGGTCCTAAACGAAACATCCCCTCCAAATTTTACTTATATGAGTGTCTGCAGAGCGTGTAAGAGAGGTGGCGGCTTAGCTGTTCTTTTTAAAGATGTTTATCAATGTATAGGGGAATTACCCCTCTTTCGAATATCTGGGTATTGTGTTAAAAGGTGCTCCACGTATTTTACTTATCATAGTTTACAGGCCTCCAAAATACTCTCCAGCCTTTGCTGAGGATTTTACTGAATTGCTATCAACAATTGCCTCCGAGTTTGACTGTTTTGCCATTGCTGGAGATTTCAACATTCACATAGATACCGCAGAAAAACAATATGGCAAAAGAAATTAAAACTGTTTTAAAAACTTTTGATCTGACACAGCATGTACACGGTCCCACACACAATCGTGGACACACTCTAGATTTGCTTATCAGTACGGGTTTAAACATCTCATCGATTGTTATTAAAGATGTAGCACTGTCTGACCATTTCTGTATTTTCTTTGATATATTAATCTCTCCTGCCGTTGAAGCTAGAGCTGTGTCTGTCAAGAAGAGATGCTTAAATGAAAACACTGGTGTGCTATTTATGAAGGCTATATCCTTAAAACCAAGCATATCTGCCGACTCTGTTGATTTGCTCCTTGATTCTTTTAACTCAAAAATTAAGAGTGTAATTGATGATATTTCTCCTGTAAAAGTCAGGAAGAATAGTGGCAGACAAAAAGCACCTTGGAGAAACTCAACAGCTGTGCAAAATATGAAAAGACAATGCAGAAGAGCAGAACGCATGTGGCGGAAGACAAAACTTGTAGTCCATTATAACATCTACAAAGACAGCATCCACGCTTTCAATAGGGAACTAGGCAAAGCCAGACAGACTTTCTTCTCAAATATTATAAACAGCAATATAAACAACACACGCACTCTTTTTGCTACTGTAGAGAGACTGACAAATCCCCCAAGCCAGATTCCCATAGAAATGCTCTCAGACAGCAAGTGCAGTGAGTTTGCTTCTTTCTTTTCTGAGAAAATCAATAACATCAGAAAGGTGATCAGCACATCCTTGAGTTGCTCTGGGGTCAGGCAGATCAGACCACAACCTGAGAAAGTAGTTACTATGTCTGATTTCGAAGAAATTGATGACACAATTTTGGTAGAAACCATACAGCACCTTAAAACATCAAACTGCGCCCTTGACACACTTCCCACATCTTTTTTCAAAAGTGTGTTAAACTGTTTAGAAGCAGATCTCCTAGAAGTGGTAAATGCCTCACTTCGCTCTGGGAATTTTCCGAACTCCCTGAAAACTGCAGTTGTCAAGCCCCTCCTGAAAAAGAGCAATCTGGATAAGACCATCTTGAGCAATTATAGACCAATCTCAAATCTTCCTTTCATAGGCAAGATCATTGAAAAGGTTGTCTTCAATCAGCTGAACAAATTCTTAAGCTCAAATGGATACTTTGACAATTTTCAATCTGGTTTCCGATCGCATCACAGCACGGAGACAGCGCTCATAACGATAATAAACGATATTCGCTTAAATACTGATACAGGCAAATTATCCGTGTTGGTACTACTCGACCTCAGTGCTGCATTTGACACTGTCGATCATGACATACTTCTTGACAGGCTGGAAAACTGGGTTTGGCTTTCTGGGATAGTCCTAAAATGGCTCAGGTCATACTTAGAAGGGAGAGGCTATTATGTGAGTATGGGAGAACATAAGTCTGAGTGGACATCCATGAACTGCGGAGTCCCTCAGGGCTCGATTCTTGCACCACTCCTGTTCAACCCGTATATGCTCCCAATGAGCCAAATAATGAAAAAGAACCAAATCTCTTACCACAGCTACGCAGACGACACACAGCCCTACTTAGCCCTATCGCCTAACGACTACAGCCCCATTGACTCCCTGTGCCAATGCATTGATGAAGTAAACGGTTGGATGTGTCAAAACTTTTTTCAGTTAAACAAAGACAAAACTGAAGTCATTGTGTTTGGAAACAAAGATGAAGTTCTCAAGGTGAATGCATACCTTGACGCTAGGGGTCTAACAACTAAAAATCAAGTCAGGAATCTTAGCGTGTCTCTAGAGTCAGACCTTAGTTTCAATAGTCATGTCAAAGCAATAACTAAATCAGCATACTATCATCTTTTTTATTTTTTATTTGTGCTTTGGCAGATACAGGCTTTAACAGTTTGTGGCCTGAGAGCCTATCGTGATCTGCAGCTACTCAGAACTAAGAATGTGTAATAAGTGGCAATAAGCATCAAGATATCACAGTTTTTTACTAAGGAGATGTTTGTTTAGTCTCTTCTTGAAGGCCTGAATATTCTTTGAGGTGATTTCACCTACTACGGTAGAGGGGAGGCAGTTCCAAGTTGTTACAGCTGAATGAAGAAAGCTCCTTCCCAAGCATTTTGTGTTAGAATTGGGTAATTTTAGTGTGTGACTTGCTCGTGCTCTTCGAGTGGTTCGGCAGACGAGATCTGGTGGGGGTAGCAGAGCTTTGAGATCCTCTGGACAGTTTTTAGTGTGCATTTTGAAAAGCACAGTTGTTGCTGCAACAGTTCTCCGATGGTTGAGCTGACTGATTGCATATTTCCTTAGGGCAGTGTCCTCATCCACCCCAATGATTTTCAGTGCTTTTTTCTGGATGTTGTCAATCTGCCTGAGGGTGGTCTGTGATGCGTTCATCCAGGCAAGGCAAGAGTACTCCAAGGTACTCCTGACTTGTGCCTTGTAGACATTGGCCCTACCTTTGACATCAAGCTTGTTGGCCAGCCTGCGCAGAGCCCCAAGACACTGTCCAGCACGCTTACAGATGTTTGACAGGTGATTATTCCATATCAACTTATTATCGAAACATAGTCCCAGAATATTCAACTGCTCAAAGAGGTCTATTCTGGTTGTCCCAAAGAACAGGTCCGGACGGGATGGAGGCCTCTTTCTCGACAGAACCATAGCCTTGCATTTGCTGGGTTCGAACGTGACCTTCCAAGTATCTGCCCACCTGCGAATATTCTCCAGATCTTCATTTAAGGATGCTGCCACATTGGGACCATTAAGTGCTGTTACTGGGGCATAAATGGTGGAATCATCCGCATACAGAAAAATGCTGTTATTGCACTGTTCTACAACATCGTCAATGAAGATGGAGAATAATAGCGGGCCGAGAATCGATCCCTGGGGCACTGGGGCATCTGAAAAATATTTCAAGAATTAGATGCTTTGTTTCCAGTCAAGACTTAGAGAAACTTGTGCATATGTAATAGTGAGTCCTATAGGCCTTTCTTTGCTTGTTAATTTTCTAATACTGTTAAGTATGGTTACAATGTTTATCTGTGCTTTATGCTTAAAAAGGAGTGTGTTTTATGGGCATTTATTCATATAAATAATTCCGCTTGGCATACCAGTGTGATGATGTCATCGCGTGCGTCGCATAGTAACCCGCGCACGCGCCAGTGATGCTCCATTAGTAGTAAATGCAGAGACGAGAAGCAATCACAAATGCGTCCTTCTCTTCATTGTCTTGTCTTTAACAGGAGTACTACAAATTTGGAGGCCCCGCTGGGATGAATGTTCGGTGGAGTGACTCCCTGACCGGCAGAGCCCACTAAGCAACATCATTCCCATTATAGTGATCCAGACGAGCGACTGTGTGAGACGTTCAGGACAGGTGAAAAAAAAAAAGCTGAAATCTGATTGAGCAGTGCGTGCGCTGGAGTGATCTGATGCCAGCGGCGGTCAAGTCAAGTCAGTAAGTGAAACACCACTCTCATTGGCCGGCCCACATAGCAGCAGAAATGGAGGAGTTTAAACATCTTCAAGAGGAAATTTGTGATAAATTATGCACACTATCACTGGAAAATGGAAAAACTGACAAAACTCAGTGTCTTTCTTCACCTAACACGAGAAGATGAGGCAAACGTGACTCGTTTATTCCTGTTGCGCCTCCTTAGTAACCATTTACTGAGAGCTGAGCTAGAGGATTTAGAAGATGGCGGTATGGCTGAATTGTTAGCAATAAATGACAAACTGATCCAGCTCACGGGAATAACAAGTAAGGTTCCTGAAACAGAGAGGGAGGAAATTGAACTGGGAGATGTTAACACAGCCCACCGGAAAATACCAGAAAGTGGAGAGAGTACAGCTGACTTGTTTTCTACCATGCATATTAGCCCGACAGCATTACAAAATACAGCAGACAGACAGAAATATGCAGTGCAGAACCCAGCTTACTCTTCACCCACATATCAGAGACAACTGAACGCGTCATGGCAGAAAGACTTCAAAATCTCTGGTCTAATAGGATATCTAGGGCAGAAGGACCGCCTCTCATTCTCCAGTCTGGCACGGCAGATAGAAGGTGGACTTAAGAAGGGCTATGCAGAACAGGAAATAGTAGATTCTGTCATCAGGGCTATCACACCAGGGCTGCAGCTGCGGAGCTATCTTGAGGGGAAGGCGGGGCTGACACTCCCGACGCTAAGGCGGATACTTCGTTCTCATTATCAGGAGAAAAATGCGACTGAATTATATAAACAGCTCACCAAAGAAGTTCAGCACGCTAGAGAAACCCCACAAAGCTTCCTAATTCGAGCTCTTGACCTGAGACAGAAAATTCTGTTCGCTTCTCAGGAGGATGACTCCGGGTTGAAATATGATCCCGCCCTAGTTCAGAATATGTTCTTGCACACCGTCCTGACTGGGCTACAAAATGACCGCATCCAAAGCCACCTTCAACCATACCTTTCAGATCCCATTGTTCCAGACGAATTGTTGTTGGAGAAACTTGTTCCAACGAATCTGAAAGACAAAATAAGCGAAAATTTGAAAAAAGTGGTACTGTTCATGCTGTACAGTTGAATGAGCCTGCCCCTGAACAAAAGCTTCAGTCCAAACAGTCAAAGTTCGATTTAATGTCACAACTAAAAAGCCTGAGTGATGATATCATACAGATTAAAGAGTCTATCCAGCAACCCTTACCTGTCCCTCAGCAGTGTTTTGCAGTTTACGACAAAGACCCAGCATCAGCAGTGTCCCAACAGACATCAGGATGGACACAAGTCCGAGAGCATCAGACCTGGAAACCCGAGACGACTACATACCAACGGCAGGGAAGCCCATACATGTCTCCACACCAGTTTTCACAAAGCCCACAACAGGTGAGGGAACAGAAAATACCTCCCCCACCTGCCAACCCAGTTCAGTTGTCCACTGTTCCACCAGAACATCCTCTCCAGTCACGTCAACACTATTCAATGATAGAGACGCACCATGGACAGCCGTATATGTATCCTTCTCAGCAGCACCCCATGCCCGTCAACTATGTAACTCAGCCGTCAAACTTTGCAGCACCACAGTATTATCCACAGCAGTATGTGGAGCCACCCCGACCGCATCCTTATCCGTTCCGCCAGTCCCGTCCTTCACGAGCCAGACAATGTTTCCATTGCCAGCAGCGCAACGCAGAGGAACCTTGCACCCATTGTTACCATTGTGGAAGTAGCGAACACTTCTCAGCTGGCTGTAAGACTAAAGGTGCCAGACCTCAGCGTGGAGCTCCGTTAAACAGGAGCGGGTTACCCTCAAGGGACAGGGTGTGACCCGAGCGGCAGAGAAGTCCCCAAAACATGAGCAATGTAGCACTGGCCATCAGAGACAGTTTGAGTCCCAGTCACTTGATAGTACGCTTAATAGTATTTTAACTGCCCCTTGTCAAGTAAACCAGCATTCTGCCATCACGTCCTTAGTGGGAAAACAGTGCCTTGTTACTTGTTATCTACAGGGAAAAAAAACTGAAGCATTATGGGATACAGGCTCCCAAGTATGCATTATAGACGAGAAGTGGAAAACCAAACATGCACCTGAAGTGACATTGAGAAATATTTCCGAGGCGACCGAAGCACCAGACAGTCTATGCCTGGTGGCAGCAAATGGAACAAACATGCCATACAGTGGATGGGTGGAGTTGACTTTCAAACTGGCATCCCCTGTAACCAATGAGAAAGAGTTAAACATCCCTGTGCTTGTTTTGAAGGGCCAAGAATTGCCCAGACCTATCGTCGGGTATAACGTGATAGAACAAATAATGAGACAAAGCGGAAGTGGATCCCTTGATGTGACTAATGCTTGTCTGTACAAAACTGTCAGAAGTGCTTTCCCTAGCATAAAGAAGAAAAGTGTACATACCTTCATCAATTTGGTAACTGCTGAGAGGCTCAGCGAGTACGTAGTAAGAACCAGGAAGGAACCTGTGAACATAGAGAAGCACACCATTATGCAAATTCAGTGTCTGGTAAAAATGCCTCACGTGAAACAAGATACAGTGCTACTGTTTGAGCCACACGTTAACCCGATGTATCCAGATGGCCTTGAACTCTTCGACACTCTCTTCCTTCTGGAAAAAGGGGCCCGCCCAATAATTACTATGAATGTGCAGAATGGAACAGATCACGACATCACGCTCGGTGGTAGAACAGAGCTAGGAATTCTGCAGCCAGTTAAATCTGTTTTACCAATATCAAATGCACAGTGTGAAGCCACAGCATCTGTTACACAGGTCCTACCAGAGATCACTGAGGCATCTCCCGAAACAGATCGATGGGACCCTCCAGTGGATGTGAGCCATTTAACTCTGCCCCAACAACAAGAAGTCAAGAGGATGTTACGTGAAGAGTGTCACGTTTTTTCAAGGTCAGATGACGATATTGGCTGTGTCCCAGGTTTGCATTTGAGTGTCTTACTAAATGATAACACCCCTGTTGCCCGCACATACACATCAGTCCCCAAACCGTTATATCAAGAGATGAAGGACTACTTACATGACCTGATTGCTCAAGGGTGGGTGGCCAAGTCTCATTCCCCTTACTCGTCCCCGATTGTCTGCGTCCGTAAGAAGGATGGCAGCCTCAGGCTATGTATCGATTACAGGGATCTGAACAGCAAAACAATCCCTGATCGCCAGCCAATACCCAGGGTGCAGGATATCCTGGACGGGCTGGGAGGTAATGCGTGGTTTTCACTGCTAGATCAAGGGAAGGCCTACCACCAAGGTTTCATGTCCCCAGAGAGCCAGTACCTGACTGCATTCGCAACCCCGTGGGGACTATACGAATGGATTCGTATTCCTTTCGGCCTTATGAATGCACCTGCAGCGTTCCAAAGGTTTATGGAAGAGAGCCTGGAGGGGTTAAGAGACAAAATTTGCATACCGTACTTAGACGACATCCTAGTCTTCACTGAGTCCTTCGATGAACAAGTGGAAGCGGTGAGGAAAGTACTGCAGAGGTTGCAGTCCCGTGGAGTCAAGTTAAAACCAAGAAAGTGCGAGCTCTTTAAGAAAGAGGTGCGATATCTGGGGAGAATTGTGTCAGCTGAAGGCAGTCGTATTGATCCCGCAGACACGTCGCTGTAACGGCACTGAAGGAACAGACACCAAGCACGGTGGGGGAACTACGCAAGATTTTGGGCCTGCTCAGCTATTATCGGCAATACATTAAAGACTTTTCCAGAATTGCCAGTCCCCTCTATGACCTGCTAAAAAGTAACACGGAAGGTGCTGGACCTCAGAGAAAGGAGAGACACAAAGCAAGAAATAACAAACGAAATCATGTGGTTCCATCGAGTAAACTAATTGAGTGGACAGAAAAACATCAGGAGATACTGGAAAGGTTGATCAACTGCTTGACTCAACCCCCGATCCTTGGATTCCCCGACTTCTCTCAACCGTTCATCCTTCATACGGATGCGTCCAACCAAGGGTTGGGAGCTGTTTTATACCAGCAGCAGGATGGCAAGCTGAGAGTAATTGCCTATGGTTCTCGAACTTTGACGGCAGCTGAGAAAAATTACCATCTGCACAGTGGGAAGTTGGAATTCTTAGCTCTGAAATGGGCTATCACTGAAAAGTTCAGAGACTACCTGTACTATGCACCAACCTTCACAGTTTTCAGTGATAATAATCCATTGACCTATGTCCTGACTACTGCAAAGTTGAACGCCACCGGGTGTAGGTGGGTGTCAGAGTTCGCAGATTTTCACTTCACCATCCGCTACCGCCCAGGAAAAGAAAACATAGATGCTGACTCACTCTCCAGGATGCCAACGGATCTGGAAACGACGATGAGAGAATGTACTGAGCAGTTCTCACCTGACTGTGTGGGAGCCGTGATCCAAGCTGTGGAGTCCCAAGGGAATCCAGATGTGAATTTCGTAGTAGTCTGTCAGAGTGTACTGGCAAGTGCGGAGAAAAATGACGGACACCTCAAACCCCTGTCAAAAGAGGAAATCAGACAAGCACAAAAGGATGACAAGGACATCAGAGTAATAAGTGAACACTTACAAGCAGGATCTAGACCTCCTCAGCAGTGGCGTTCAGTCAACTCGCCAGCCAAAGTTCTTCTGAGAGAGTGGGAAAAGCTGAAGTTAGACGAACATGGCATCCTGTTCCGCCAGACATCACAAAGAAAACAGCTGGTGTTACCGACACAATTCAAAAGAACTGTTCTGAGAGAGATGCATGATGAGATGGGTCATCAAGGACTTGATCGCACCACAAGCCTCATTAGGGATCGTTTTTTTTTGGCCCTACATGCAGAAAGACATTGAAAATTATGTTCTGAGAACCTGCTGCTGTATCAAACAGAAAAAACCCTGTCGTGAGACAAGAGCGCCTCTTAAAAATATCAAAACGACCCACCCATTTGAATTGGTGTCCATTGATTTTCTCCATCTGGACAAATGCAAAGGGGGCTATGAGTACATTTTGGTAATCGTCGACCACTTCACTCGATTTGCCCAGGCATATGCCACCACCTCAAAATCAGCAAAAACAGTAGCTGACCGGTTATTCAATGATTTCGCCCTGAAGTTTGGGTTTCCATCTAGAATTCACCACGATCAAGGGGGAGAATTTGAAAATCAGCTACTCACCCAACTCAAAAAGTACAGCGGCGTTGCCGGCTCAAGGACCACCCCCTACCACCCCCAGGGGAATGGGCAGGTGGAACGGTTTAACCGGACATTATTGCAGATGCTGAAAACCCTGACTGAAAGACAAAAAGCTAATTGGAAAGATGCATTGAACAAATTGATCTTTGCCTATAACTGTACTAGGTGTGACGTGACTGGTTTCTCACCTTTCCAATTGCTGTTCGGACGCTCACCAAAGTTGCCCATCGATGCTCTCTTCGGGCTTGAATCCGACAATAACTGCCAAAGTTACAGTGAGTACATGGAGAGATGGACAAAAGGAATGCAGGAAGCCTGTGATATTGCGAGAGAACAGGCAAACAAGTGTGCAGAAAGAAACAAAAGGAATTATGACCAACGAGTGAGGTGTACTGACCTGTTCCCAGGAAGCAGGGTCCTCGTAAAAAACCTGACTCCAAGAGGTGGGACCGGGAAACTGAGAAATTTCTGGGAGGATGAGGTTCATGTTGTTACACGCCAGGTGGCAGATGGCGCTCCAGTCTACGAAGTAAAACCTGAACAGAGTAAAGGTAGATCACGAGTTTTACATCGCAATCTTCTCCTTCCATGTGACCATCTACCTCTAGAGATCACACCAGCCCCAAGTACTAAAACAAAACAAGGACAGCAACCGAGAAAAGGAGGAACTCAGCTGAAGCCCGCCCGGGGAAGAGAATGTGAGTCAGAGGACGATAATGAAAGCGAAGAGGACGAATGCTACTTTCAAGTGGAGCCCTTCCAGATGAGACCACAGGAAAGCAGTGATTGCCTAGAAAAAAGAAATGCATTATCACCACAGTTAGTACCTTCTGAGCCTCGATCTAACTCTCCAGTGGTCGGACCAAGGCCACAGTCACTCCCAGCTGAGTCAGAGATGGACCTCCCAGAGTCTGTACCTGAAGTAAGAAAAGGACCGCATGAAAATGAACCAACTGCTGACCTAATGCAACAAGACTCACCTGATAGGGAAACAGCTGCAGTGCCTTGGCCCAGAGACAGGACCTCTGAGGGGGAAAACGGGTACCAGCTTACCAGGAGGAAACGACGACCGCCTAAAAAGTTTACCTATGACAATCTTGGGTCCCCATCATGCTACACTGTGCAGATAGTGGGCAACAACCACTACCCACACTTTGCATCTAGTGGATTGACCCTGGACACCCTGGTCAACACCCCTTTGTCGCCCCCAGCAGTCATATGTGTGCTATTAACTTTAAATTGCACTCACGTGAATTTCACCCCCATAACTAGTCCCTGTGTCTAAGGTGTGAAATGCCACTATACAGAACATTACTCAGAGACTGTTATTGCCCATAGTGAGAAACTATTGCAAAAATGGACTAAAATGGACTGTTGTACAGTTTTGAAAATGTGGACACTTGGGATCACTTTGAGACTTTCTTTTTGACATTTTTGAATCTCTTTCTTCCTTGAAGATCTCTTTACCATTTTTTGTGTGAGAACAAATAACATGGACTGTTTTAGGGCTCTGAACACAGCCACGTTAAGCCGGCCTACGCTTCAAATGGACTGTTACGCCATCTTCTATCCCATTGATATGGACTGAGAAAAAGAGAGAATGTGAAAAAAAAAATGTAAAAAAAAATGACAATGTATACAGTGTATAT